ACACACACACACACACACACACACACACTTACGCTGAGCGTGAGGATCACGGTTCCGACGGGGCTGTTCTCGGGCACGTTCACCACGTACGTCTGCTGAGAAAACAGCGGGCTGTTGTCGTCGATGTCCGTCACCCGCACCGTGAGGGTCAAGGTGGTGCGCCGGGGGTCCACGGCCCCGTCGGAGGCTTCGATCACCAGCTCGTAGCTGTCCCTGAGCTCGCGATCCAGCGGCACCCGGGTGTAGATGCTGCCGTTGGCGGCGACGACGAACAAGTCGGGGTGATTGACGATGCGGAAGCTCACTTGGCCGTTAGCCCCCGCGTCTGGATCTGTGGCCTGCGGGGATAAAAGATGAGAAGACTGGGCTGCAGCCTTTTGCGTCGACTGTAATTACATGTTGCCAAGCTCCCACTGTGACTTTCTTACAGTGATTGTACAAGGTTGACCATGCTCGTTTGAAACCATGAACTGGATCATCGAAAAAAAGCAGTAAAAGTCATGTCGCGAAATTCAGACCTAATTTCCAATCAAACACCAAGGCTAGATTAGCCCAAAAGGCCCCCCCCCCAAAAGTGTTTACGCTGGCTCCCAGTCAGCTGTGGAATAGATTTCAAAGTTCTTCGGCTAAAAATGACCGAAAGGTTTGGGTCCTGAATAAATTAAAGAAATGCAAATGACATTTAAACTCAGTCAGGGGCTGTGAGGTCTGCAAACTCGGGGCAATTAGTGGAGCAGAGAGTTGAAAGCAAACATGGTGCAGCAGCATTTCGCTTTTATGCTGCACGCAAATGGAATAGGTTGCCAACAGACGTGAACTAAGCCCCCCAGTGTAAATGCTTTCAAATCCAAGTCGAAAACTATGATTCCCCCTTGTTATGATTTTGGTATTTTGAAACATTTTAAAAATTCAATTTCCTAAAATATCGTCCTTGCACTGTACGTTCTTTTCGTAATTTAGGCAAGCTACCTTTTATTTAATTTTTTTTTTTTTTGAGGTCTGTAGTTCTTTTATTTGCAAACGTTTTTGAACGTTGAACTTTCAATAATGGAAAAAAACGCAACCTTTGAGATGAAATGCGCGATATCAAATAAAAACCTGCCTTGCCGTTGCCTCGCCTCAATTGTCAGCTGTCAATGATGCGACGCCATTAGCATGCCGGAGCACCGGGATTGAAAAATACATCAAAAGTCATAAATAACCTCATTTCCCTCCTGACTCGCCAGACGTAAACTGTGAGTAAGACTATTGACATACGCCGTTAATAGCGCAAAGCGCTAAATATTCACCGCGAATGAGCGGCGCATTTCAAAATTGAAAGGCGTTTGCCTGGAGGCTGACAGCAGATGTTTTTGTGTTTAATCTGATCCAGAACACGATCCATTAGAGCCAGGCTTTTCATTCTAACACCTTGCATATTTACACAGCCTGTAGACGCCGGCTGAAACAACCCTCACGCAATTTGGGCTCTCATCCTGGTTGTCACTTGGGAGATGTGAGTCCTTGTGACGAATTGCGCGCCGGTTCAAAAGGGCAAGACGCTCTGGGTTACGCAAGGGCCTGCCTTTCATCGCTCGGGACATGTTCTGAATTAATCCAAAGAGGAAAACAAGCTATTATTCAAGTCAATTACGGTGAAAAAAAAGAAAACTAAAAAAAAAAAAAAAAGTCATTTTCACATTTTCCTGCACAAAGGAAGTGTGTGTCCAACTCATTTTGGTTATTTTAGAAGGCGAAACACATGGGGAGGGCTTCCATTTATTGGTTTATCAATAATTGTCCACATTTTCTTCTACTGCGGTTTCAAGGGAAGCACTGTTTATTCCACGTAATCCTTCAAGTGCAACTTGGCTTGGAGCACGTGTGTGGCAAAGATTAAAAAAAAAAAAAAAAAGGGAATACTGAGCGAGCTGTTGCTTAATCAATAGTCGTGCTTGCTTGAGGGTATCAAATTGGACACCGGCTTCCTGTACGCGCATGCCTGAACGTAGCCGTTATTATTTATGCATCAGTCACTGAAAAACGAAATGGCAAAAACGTGCTTTGCAATGATAAAAAAATAAGAATAAAAATAATAATTCTGGAACAGCCCCAATATTTCTTGGCCTGTGCACCAAGTTTTATGGAATATGACTGATGATTTTCAACATATTCCGGCTCATGAATAAACAAACACAAAATGCCAATGGTGCAGATAATTCATCGTGATAAAAATTATCCCAAATAATTAATACAGAGGTACCTTAACGTACAAGTGATTGATTTATTTATTTTTGCTCTGCGTTGCCAAATCTCTCTTTTTTCTTTTTTAGACTATAGTCCAATACCGTTGAGGACAGTTTTTCATGATTTTGGGGGATCTGGAATGGATTAATATCATTTCTATTCATTTCAGTGAAGAAAGTTGATTTGAGATGTGAAGTGAAGTTTTTTTTAAATTGCGAGCGCGGTCATGAATGATGTAAACTTGTAAATCAAGGTATGCACAATAAAATTAGGACAGCGTAGTCAGTAAGTGGACAGCATGTTCGATTCGGGATTTGACTCAGCTGCGGCCTTCCTGCGTAGCGTTTGCAGGTTGTTAGCCAGATAGCATAGCTGTCTTTATGTTTCTTTTACATTTCATCGAACAAAACGTAACAAACAAAACAAAAAAATAAATTCAACAACCAAGAGCCCGGTTGCCGAATATTAAATCAGTGTTTCTAAACCAGGGGTCCGTGGACCCCTACTGGTACGTGATGTAATTGCAAGAGGTCCATGAAAATAAAATCTTTTTTAAAAAAACGTTCCTATGACATTTACAGAAATCGGATTATTTTACTTCAATGTGACTGTGACGTCTATCAACATAAACTACAGATGGTAACAGGATTTTTTTTTTAACTCTAATTCACAAATGTAATCCACTGTATTGTAATAACAGCTATCGCTCCCATTTGCATTGTTCAAGTTACTGCATGCATAACACTGCTAACAAAATGAAATTCAGTTTTGTTACATATTTCCTGAAACATTGCATAACTACGCTTGCGTGCTCTGCAGAGAAGCTAAAAAAAATATCTATCAGTGTCGGTTGTGTTAGATGATACCTTCCAAAGGATCTCTGGGACAAACTGCTTTCAAATTCTTAATCAGGCATGTTTTTTTTTTTTTATGTCCAAAGCAATTAAGTGCTTTTTAAAAAAAAAAGAATAAAAAAAAATGAGCCCAGTAGTTAAAAACTGAGTGTATGACCACCTTGACGCATTGTAAAGTTTAAGGACATGCCGTTTAATGTTCTCCTTGAGATTTTAGCATCAGCGTTTTATTTGAACTGTACTTTCTTTATATGTCTTCTTATGGAAAGTGCCCTTGGTGAGCGGCTGCACGTCGGGCACACAAAGCCTCCATTCTTGACTTTTTGTGCAAAAAGTAGATTGCGTGACCGCTTGGAAATGATTTCTCAAATAGCGAACCTGATTGTCGTGTCTTTACGCCAGCAAAACTACGATCGAGGAGCGCGCTGTGCGGAGAAGATGAAACGCCCTCTTGATTCACTCATCTCCAGCCTCGGCGTTGGCGTCTGCGTACTGGGTGCAGCGACGTCTGCGGCGTGAATGCACTTTGCGCTGTACGCTTAAAAAGGCTGAGCACGGCGAGTCTTGCCTACTGGGACGGAGAAGCTAAAGAGACGAGGGAGATTTGGGACAGCTTTATTGAGGACGCATTTTGGATGAGAGTCAAAAGGCAACGTGGCTTCCTTAGCGTCTATTTCATACTTTATAAACTAACATTTGCCGGTAGACTGGTGTGTTGGAAATGAGCAATGCACACATAATTATATCGCCACCGAAAAGATGGAGTCTCCTCTCGTTTCAAGTTTCATTTCAAAGGAGGTTTCACAAAATAAGGGCATTCACTGTGGGTCGTGCCGACTTCACTTTTTGTCTTCAGTCAGTCAGACGCATTTCGCTGTTGGCGGGACATCAAGCGGCTGACTCGGCCATGAAAGAACATTCCCTTTCTTTGCCTTCAAAAAGTCAGGGTCTTTCTTTCATCCAAGTATTAAGAAATGACTATTAATTTAAATTTTGCATCTTAGCACCAAACTTCGGAGCCTCTGAAAACGGCGGCATTAAATGGCTGGAAATCCTCATTTGTATATGTCGTGTTTTTGTGTACAATCTTGAGAATTGTCAACTTTTTCCAGAGAGTAACAACGAAATTATTATTTTTTTCCCTAAACTAGAAGGCGCACCTAAAAGCATTCCATTTTCTCAAAAGCTGGCAGTGCTCCTTATAATCTGATACGCCTTATCTATAGATCAGCATTCTAATTTCTTGGACGTAGTACTTTAAATCTGGAAAGCGCCTTGTTGTAGCTGCAGCGATTGTGAAAGCTCCATATAAATAAAGCTGTATTGTATTGTATTCCCTTTAGTGTAACTCCATCTAGTGGCTGCATAACGCTACCGCACCCACTATTGTAGCTCCTATTCCATGTGCCTTATAATGCGTTGCGCCCTATTTATGAAAACAGTTTTAAAATAGGCCATTCACTGAAGGTGCGTTATGTACGCCAAAGCGCCTTATAGTGCGGAAAATACGGTAATTCAAATACAGTAACATAAGTATTCATGAAAAACTGTATTTCGGTATTCCTCAAAAGCAGACAACAAAAGGCACGATGACATTACGCGTTGTAACAGCGTGCTTAAATTTCGGAAGACAAACTAATTAAAAGTTTCATTGACAAGCACTTTTTTTAAAGGAACGCTAATACCGAAATCAATCAAAACAAAACTAAAATAATAACTAAAAGCATTTGAAACAAAAATACAAATAAAATTGATGTAATTTTAACGAATGTTTATTTCAACTAATCTTTTAAACGCAACTTCTCTTAATCACGTTTGGAGACCCCCCCACAAAAAATAAAAAATAAAATGGGAAACAGTGCAAACAGTTCAATCCAAATAGGTCCAGGAGGGGAAAAAAAAAATACTATTAATGCAACCCACAACAGAGGATAATTGCTCAGGATGATTTTCCGGAGACCTCCAACAATCGGGCCTTGGCAGACTCTCATCGCAAGGGTAGAAAACGGCTCAAATTTTGGCAGAATTGTCTGTATTTGTGCAGCACCACTTTCGGGACTCATTTTCGTCGCGCTGTCAATTTACCGGGGGGTTGCATTGTTACACGCGTGAAACAATTGAACCCAGGAGAGAGTCTGCCAAGACCACAAATAAAAAGCATGGGAACACCAGGCTGGAATAAAGACGGCGTTATTCATCGCAATTCTAATTGAAGGCCGCCGCGTCCCACAAGTGACTGAACTAACCGTCGGAGCCCCTTTTTTTTGTATTGATTTATGTGAAGATGTGATCCAAGTAAAGGGCAAGTCCTGACATTAAAAGTTAGGTGGTAACAGTACCTACCTTGGTTTGAAGGTTATGGTTCAGTTCGCTTTGGGTACAGGCGAATATCTAAACTGCTTTTCTTGCGTGAGAAGAGGAGCGTTAATGGCATCTAAACTGAAAATGAGTTTCTATTTTTTAAAAATAAATAAATACGTGTCTGGTACAAGTGAAATGAATCATTTAGAACAGGGGTGTCAAACTCATTTTTGTCGTGGGCCACATTTTTGTTACGTTTCCCTTGGAGGGCCGTTATGACTGAAAACATATAAAAACGTCAATCATAATGGTTTATTCAACTAGTGTTTAAATTACTGTTATGAGTGTTTGGTCACAAGAAAATGCTTACAATGTCTCTCTTTTATTTAATAAATATGAGAATTTAAAATTTTGGTCGAGATTTTAGCAAGCATCGTGGAAGTTGACATGTTTGATTTGCTTTCGAGGGCCACATAAAATGATGTGGCGCACCCGATCTGGCCCCCGGGCCTCGAGTTTCACACCTGTGATGTAGAACAACAGCTGAATTCATGATCATTTTAGGAAAGCGCAACATCAATAGTTCTTTCGAGGAAATGAATTGTTTGTTTACGCTATCGATCCTATGGACCGAGGTGCCGACACTTTAAAATCAATCCACCAATTTCTTTCATAAAACGACGTTTTGAACATCAAAGGGACTATCCGTCGACGATGAGACGAGATTCATCAGTTGCGCTCCTCATCTTCATTGTGAGATGAATTCCCAATTTCTATGCAGAACGGGGCAGTGACTCTTGAGGGGAAGAAGGGCAATAAAACCAAGACCAATTGATTTTATTGCTACATCGACAATTTGGTGGCCGTAGACGTTAATTCTTGCGTATCCGTTCATGGTTTCATCATTAAACCGGGGATGAGTCATTTAAAGCACCCATAACAGGGTCAGTGTGATGATCCATGATGCTGTTCAAGTCCGATTTCAAGCAGCAAAAACGAGCCCGATGGCAGCAGGGAAACCGCCAAAGACCGAATAAAGGGAACTGAACTGCGCCGCCTCACGCGTTCAACTTACTTTGACTTGTCCCACAAACAGATGGGCCTCCTCTTCTCGGACAGTGAAGTTAGTGGGGGCGGCGGGGTCAAACTCAGGGTCGTTGTCATTGACGTCCGTCACGACGATGTCGACTGTTGTCGTTGACGTCTGGGGAGGGATGCAGATCCACGTTTTGCATTCATTTCAAAAGAAATAAACAACAGGGGTCCCGGCGAAATCCGACAAACGTGAAACGCATCTGATCAAAACAAAGGCAAGAAAAACGCAGCTTTTGACGTCGGGAACGTCTCAAACGTATGATCAAAAGGTCATCTAAAGCTTTTCATTCATCGCATCTCAATTTTATGACATCATGGGCGATTAAGGACTTTTAGAGCATTTCAAGAATCAGTATTTTGAAAACGATGCGCCTGGGCTATCTTCAAACTAATTTTTGCAAACGTATTTTTTTTTCTTTACTCCTAAATGTCTTGAATTCTTCATTTTTTTAAAAATTCATTGAATTCATTTGCCTTGTTTTGTGACTATGTGTGAAGCACATTGAGTTATCTTGTGTAGGAAAAGCCTGATAGAAATAAAGCTGCCTAACCTTGTCTTGCCTCTACGCGTGCCCGACGGGTACCTGGCAGAAAGTCACCTGGGATAGGCTCGGATTTGGAAAAACTCAATCAAAGGAATTCATTTATAATGCCCAAGAGTCTCTATTAATTTACAACCACTGGGACGTTGTTTGAAATGCCTCCACATGATTCCAAACGCTATACGACTCACACTGTTGATCTGCAAATCACTGGCTTGTATCTGCGCAACCCGTGGCAGTCTTCGGCAAAAATGACTGACAGGCAACAAAGCCGTATGCTAATCATGGAATAAATGCTCCGAAGTGGGAGTGGTCGGCCCTCGCAACACTTCCCACCAGACAGCGCGTTTGAAGTTCGCCCCGGCGCTTGAGCGGCGTCCATCCCGGAGGAAACGATCTAGTTCTTCCATCTCGTCGTCCGTCCTCGCGGGGCTTCATCCCGCAACTGTTGTTTGCTTTGTTCGGACTTAATTACAGACATTCACGTGGGAGCTGACACGCTGGAAACCGTCACATATGAGGCCCGCTTGATCCGCCGCGACGGTGGGATACACTAGCGGGGTACCATTAACATCAGCGTGGCGATGACAGGCTCTATTTATTCTTCACTTTGCCCAAGACCCGGAGCCAATTAGTGTCACCATCCTGGCGTGAAGTTTCTCATCAAAGCCGCAAGAGCCGAGAGCCTGATTAACGAGCGGTTATTATTTATTTAAAGTCAAACGCCGGTGCTCCGTGGTATCCAAAAGGACGCAGGGGAGGCCTTCCACGCGTCGGCTTTTCAAGTGACAAGCCTGACCGGAAGCAGTGAATAAGATCATGCTGTTAGGACTCATGTAGTGCGTTAGCCGAGGGCAATGGGAAAAAAAAAACGGTTATCCCGGCGGATGTCTGAGCCCGCAAGGCAGTCGGTATTACAGACTTCCCACCTGCGGAGACGGATTTTAGAATTGGGCACAGAGACTAGAGCTGGTGCGAGTTGTGCCTGAGGTACGGAAAATGTCCGATTTTAACAGGCTAATAAAGTTGGTCAGTTTCCTCTTAGTTAATCATCTCCGTGTCACAAAGCCTTTAAATGACATGCAGTCTTAACTCATTCACTCCCAAAGACGTATTTAGATGTCTTTTCAGACGCCACACATTTAATCCCAGCTCCTCATTTTATATTGACTGTATTTGAAAAGGGTCTGAAAGGGACTGAAAATGGCCTTTTCAGGCATTGGTCTGAAAATGGCCTTTTCAGACCCTTTTCAAGTACAGTCAATATAAAATGAGGAGCTGGGATTAAATGTTTGGCGTCTGAAAAGACATCTAAATACGTCTTTGGGAGCGAATGAGTTCAGTATCGTATTTTCCGCGCTGTAAGGAGTATCAGGCGCACCTTCAACGAATGGCCTATTTTAAAACTGTTTTCATATATAGGGCGCACCGCATTATAAGGCGCATAGAATAGAAGCAGCAGGAGTGGCTGAGGTTGCGTTATGCATCCATTAGATGGAGCTACACTAAAGGGAATACAATACAATACAGCTTTATTTAAATAGAGCTTTCTCAACCACTGCAGCTGTAACAACGCACTTTACAAAACACGTAAAATACTACGTCCAAGAAATCAGAACACGGATCCATATATAAGGCGCATCGCATTATAAGGCGCACCGTCGGCTTTTGAGAAAATGGAATGCTTTTAGAGTGCGGAAAATATGGTAATCATCTCCATGTCATTGCGCTTTAAACGCAAACCACGTCAGACGATCTCGCGCCAAATTGAGATTAAAGGTCCTGAGAGTTTGGAGAAAAGAAAATTACCGATGTAATTGGATTCATGTTCATCCTTCTGCGGTTGACGTTCGAGGCTTTGTACATGAAGGTAAAGTAAGAAGAAACAAAGTTGAGACCTCGGTTTACCTCCCTTGGCAAGCCAAGTGTTTAAGTATAATAAGAGACATTTCCTCCTCATCTTGGGAACTGATATTGCGTTCCGGCTCGTACCAAGTTTTCAAAGTGTTTTATGAACGTGTCTGATGGCGCCGATCTGCAAATAAAGTGAAGCGCACCTGAAAACGCGTCTCCTGTTCATTGAGCTGAGGGAGAGCGCATAGTTTAGGTGGAGGTTTGAGAGCAAAATTACTAAATGTCAGTAGGTCTGTGCAGGAGTTAACCAGGTCATGGTAGTCCCCGAATGACTCTTCTTGATTGTTGAGGATGTTTCACCTTGAATCTGAAAGCATTCTTCAGTTCTCGGTTTCGTGAGGAGGGGCAACCCAGCTATTTGTTAGATTTCAAGTATGATTTTTCATGAAATTGAATTTGTAATTGCCGGACCGGCAACCTGTTGGACTTTGGAGGATTGTCAAAGAGAAGCGTCACCAGGAATGGATGGCTCAGAAACAACAATTCTGTCTGACCCGCTTTGTGTGAGGACACTGAAGTCCATTTTTCTCCTTTGAGCTTCGGAATTCCAGACTTTGCTGTCTCTGGCATTGCTCGGTCAACCGACGGCAGACCTTAAGAGTGCGTATTAGGTCTACTTAGGTCCGTAGTGGGAGCCCAAGCCGACTCCTTCACCCCCACTTCCTCGTTTGAACTCCCCCCTCCTGTTGTAGCAGCTTTTTATCCCGCCGCTGACATTTGGCACACTCGAGTCACAGCGGCAATTTATGTTGTGCCGGAGATGCTTGCCTCCGCTGCGCCCCGATTTAAAACTCGCACAATATTGGTAAAGGTTATTGACTCCTACAATCTGTCCATCTAAAGTGAGATGAATAGACTCCCTCCCTCCCTACCAACTCCCCACGCTTTTCCTGCAAAAAAAAAAAACACCAAAAAACCCCAGATGTATTCATCATCACTCTCCCAGGGGATGAAGAGAGGCTTCCGATCAGACTTTTAACCAAAGAGGGGGGCCGCATTTCACCTCGGCCAGGAAGGGAGACAGCTGACCAAACCGCGGCCAACTGAGCTGACGTCTAATTAAATTAGGACGATCAGTGGAAAGCAGAGAAATACATTTAAGGGGTCACCGATCTCTTATCTGAAGGTTGAGGGGGGGGTACAGAAACGGATAAAACAAAACAAATAAATAAATAATTGGGGCTCATCAGTAGTCCAGAATTTTGTGGAAACAACTAGGAAACCGATTTTTCAAAAACACATTAAAAAAAATAATAATTATGACGAGTAGAAAACTTTCATTTTTGATAGGAAACCGATTTTTCAAAAACACATTAAAAAAAAAAAAATAATTATGACGAGTAGAAAACTTTCATTTTTGGTAATACAAAAAAAAGTTGCTCATTACAAAACAAGAGCATCATAATTCGATTGGTTTTGAAATTGTGACATCGTCAAGAGCCAAATTTAGTAGGTTACACTATAAAAAATATTGTCTTTACCGAAAAGGAACTTTTGCGCTGACCGACACGTCAACAATTTCAGCCCATCTTTCGACAAGACAAGGGCAGAGATAGGCGGCTTTGTGTCTTACCCCTCCAGGGTTGCCATCCGAGGCGGTGACGACCAGACGGTAGCGCTCTTCGGTTTCTCTGTCTAAAGCTTTTTCCAAAATTAGAAGGCCAATCCTGTGGAGAAAATCGAAGCGTTAAATTCCATAGATTCAGTCGCATCTTCACAAACAACAGCCACCCAAAGGCTTCGAGCATCCTGGTTCCCGCATTATTTGTCCCTTGTAAGCACATCGACACGTCATACGCGTGCTTCCATCCAAATGTATTTACTTACAGATTAGGCACATTCATGAATTCCCGGCCACTGGGGAAAAGGAGCAGGTGGTCTTTTAAACTTTACCGCGCTTCCCACCCAGACGCACAACAAACAGCGGGAATCCATGTTGCGGTTCAAGTCGCTGCAGTGCACCAAGCTACAATTTGCTGGCGGGGAAGCATTCCGCACGGCGGCCTGCGCATTCCCCGAGAGCGGCGCGCCGAATTATCTTTGTTTGCACACATTCACACATGGTGGCGTAAAACACGGCAGCGGGAGCGAGTGCATTAATACAAACACTCACGGGCGCACGGCGCAAAACAAAACAATGGAACCCGGGGGCGAATCTGCCAGGACCACAAACAAAATGCGTCGGAACACCCGGCAAGGAGAATAATGACTGCCGCAACTCCCCGTCGAACTGTTCTCTCCTTTACGGTTCAAATTGAAGGCTGCTGTGGAGCACACGTGACTAACTGCGTGACCTTTTTATTCATGAATAGCGTTGTGGTCATTATTTTCTTCACTTGCGCTCCAGGTAGTTGTAAATCCGTGGCACCGATATGTACTTGTCATGAATAAAGTAACAAGTAAAATCCGTGGCCTGTATTATACCGGGTTGTGTGCTTAAAAATTTTCAAGGTCTCTAAACAGGCTTTAAAATCATACCAAACACATAAGGCAGTCAGTCTATGTTGTGTTTACTGGTGTATTTATTTTTTTTTCATATGTTATTGTATTTTTTTTTAAAAAATGCGGGTTTACAATTACCAAAACATAAATGGTCATTTCCATTATCCCCTTCTTTGGCATTTTACATTCAATATTATTTGGTTCGACTAAACATTTCGGTCCTTAACAATGGTTTTACTATCTTTCATTTCGTGTGTCATTTTTCACATAAACATACATTGACCTCTTATTTGGAGAACTGTGTGAGCGAGAGTCTTCTTTTGTGATGGTTCCGATCATCTTCCATTTCTTGCCAGCGAAAGAAGAGGAGCAAAGGGATACTTTAAGTGTTTTATTAAGTTTAGCATGTTTAGCATGTGGTGGAGACAAAACAATCCCACCCCCCCCCAAAAAAATATGGTACTTTTTTAAAAGTTGTGTTCTATGCATCATTAAGGCAGGTATGGTAGTTTTAAAAAAATCACAGGTTCAAAACCGCTAAAAGTTTCGATCACAGTCTGAGCTGTTTTAGCAGTCAGTGAAGGTACGGCGGCTTAGAAGAGGAAAGAAACCGCATTTACGAGAGTGCCACCCATCAGTCTTTGACAACTCCAAGGTAACATCAATATACAACCATAAGGCTGTCTTGAAATGAGTGCTTGCAACCAGCTACAGGAGTTGGCTTGCCTACAATTGGTGGCATGAATATTAAAAACTCGTTTGTGAGGCACATAACTAGCGCAGTAGCTAACCAGCATGGCTAACATGAGTTTGTTTGTAGTAGCGACTCCTCTTTCTGACAAATGAGTGAGTACCTTCAGTGTTGTCTTCTATTTTTGGTTGTATTTAGTGAAAAAGGAATGATTTTCTCTTTATCCAAGTCTGAGTATTGATCAACTCCACAGTTATTGTGGGAAAAAGCGAGACAACAGATACAAGCTGTAATTCAGCAGATGATGCTCTATTGCTGGTAGATGAGATGCAAATGAGGGAGGGGGGTTGTGGGGGGCGGTTTAAGCAAAGAAAAAGACCTCTGGCATGATGAATGTACAACTGTCATGCTAATGATTCACTTCAGACAGGATTAATGGCCATAAATTGACTTGTGTCCCACATTTCGGAATGATACATTGACCATTGTTCAGGTTTACGGGGATAAATGATGTCGTGGAAGAATGTGGATCAATATATACAGCGTGGAGGTATGATATGATACCGAGACACAGACGGCATCAATCAAACCTCCGCGCTCCAGATCAGTCATTTTCTGTGAACGTAGCAGATGATTCCTCTATCGCATACGTGGAAAAGGCTAATTCATGGTTATCCTGCTGGAAATAGTCTTCACAAGATGGTACAATGTGGTCATAAAAAGAATGACATGGTCAGCGACCGCACTAGACGTGGCGAGTCTTTGAATTATGATCTTTGCCACCATTAGCGACTCAGTACGGGTCTCTTTGCGATGAGGAATCTGATCAACCAGCCGCGGTTTACATTGACTGAACACACTTAGAACCCCTGCTCTGGTATAAGTCCAAGAATATAATATAATGTAACACATCTAACATTGCTCGCCATCCCAGACAAGACCTTATAGCAGGGGCCGGGAACCTATGGCTCGCGAGCCAGGTGTGGCTCTTTTGATGATTGCATCTGGCTCGCAGATAAAACTAAATATTCTCGTTTGTTTAATCCATCCATCGATTTTTCACTGCTCATGTCCTGTTCAGGGCTGCAGTTGGCGGCAGGAGCGATTTTAATTGGATGATACTGGCCTACGTTGGCCGTTGCTGGGTAACAGGTAAACGCCCCCTTTTTGAATCAGCCCGCTCGGTCATTAGCTCAAAGCTAATCCTTCGACGAATAAGACGACGAGTATGGTACACTTCAGGACGAACGGACCGAAGGATTCGCCTTTAGCCGGCTCGCCAGCAGCAACTCCGCGTATGGACCCGGCAAGCTGACTATAATTCCGCTAGCTTCGCTGGATCATTAGCAATCGTGAGGAACGGAAAACCATTCACATTAATGGTGAGTATTATAACAAAATTATTTCAAAGACTACATTCAGAGGCTTATTATACCGACATTTAGTTTTGTGCGTGTGTGTGTGTGTGTGTGTGTGTGTGTGTGGGTGTGGGCGTGGGTGTGGGTGTGTGTATATATATTCCAAATATTTTGCTTTCATGAATCTCTTAGTCTTATAGCTTCAGCTGCTATGGCGACCATCTCTAGCATCCCCTCTCAGGGGAACCTGCGCTGTTGATAAGAAGCGAAGGGCTGGAGTGCTCATTTTTCATAATAGCTCAACGCAAGCAGCGGCATACGCAGAGTGTCGTCGTCTGGAAATGCAGCAGTGCAAGAATCTCGTCACGGGACAGAATTTAAGGCTTGAAAAATGACAAGTCTCAGTGGGTGTGTTGTATGCACAACTTAACAAGAGTAGAAGCTAATCAGTCTTCATTCAGAGGCTGCCATATCGGCGTCTGCTTGGGCCGTTTGTGAAGAATTTTAAAATGTAGCCCGACCCGCCGTGCTGTGCTACTTTCGTCTGCCATAACAGATGATCAGATGTGCCAGGAATAGACGCAGCCAGCGCTGCACTTTATTGAACCGACACAAAGAAAATTCACGCGCATTAAACAGATTCATTCAATAGCTGCACAGCAACTGTTGCCAAGGCACTCAATGCCCAGACTGGCGAACATTTTACAACAGCCAACCCGACAATATCATTTGACTCCCGCGTCACTCACCAGGCGAGGCCCCGCCGTTTAAAGCCACATCCTGATTTTCCACATCGCTACTATTTCATAATCGCGCGACTTAACTTTCAGGCACATTGCCGGCCGAAGACAACAACTAGTTGTTGTTAGCATTCAAGCCGCCGCCAGCTGCTAGCTGCCTGCCAGCACGACTGCGGGAATCACAATGACACAGATGGGAAAACGGTACAATCTAATGAGTTCCAATACAAACCTTGTGTAATAATCTTAATGAAAAAGTATAAAGATCTCATTCTGGACTGGTTGCTGGTAAATTCCAGGGCCCGTGAAGAGACAAACAACAAAGAAACGACGACAAAACATCACTGAGTGGGAAGTGAAACTGAAGTCAGGTGAGTGGACTATGAGCACCGACAACGGGTATCGGTATCAGGCTGATTCCATGCTTATTTTAAGACCCGATCTGGTGGAAGCTGACGATACCAGTGAGCGATACTTAAGGCAATAAAAATCCAAATCTGGCACTCTTATTGGAATATAATTTGTGGCTACTCTCTCTTTCCTCCTCGTGGCAGAAACCGACTGAACAGACTTGCGCAGTTTTATCTATACTGGCAGAATATCAAATCAATGTGGCTTTCTACACGTTTCTTAATGTGCGAGAACGGCTCCACAGTTAAATGGCCTTGAGATAACTTCTGTTGTATGTTGGCACAACAGAACTAAAAGTGACTTTTGATGCATAGCGCTATCCACAAGTAAGTACGGCATCTCCAGTCTCCTCGCGTCTTGACCCTCGAAATTGACTTCCTCATTTACAAGACGGTAAAATGGCACCTTAATATTTCATGGGGTTTCCACGCCACGCGGCAGGCAGCAGAGCAGGGTGGTTTTTTTTTTTTTTTCTGCCGATATTGATTTTGAGTCAGAGAACGTGGCTGGTGGGAAACTTCAGTTTGTGCTTCATGTCCCAAGAGGGACAAAAAGCGCACGGTGGCATTTTTAAGAGTTGGTCCGTTCTCGGGTTTTATGTATGCAGTTGGGTTATTTCTGCATAGCTTCCATGCTGCACCCAAACAGCCTTCCGCGACCCTCATTATCAGTCCATACATTAGCCGAACGGGGCTACTCGTTACTTCCCAGTTTTTGTTAGCCTGCACCTTGGTACCCATTTCTAAAAAGTGACATTTTTCTCGCTTTTTCATCGAAGCTTTTTGCTTTCATGTTAGCCTGTTGAGGCTTCCAATTTTTCCTGTGCTCGTCTCGGCATTGGCAAAGGCACTTGAAAAGAGGGAGGTGTCAGAGAGGAGAAAAGTCGCGGTGCACGCAGCTCAAACTGCTCGTTCACTGCAATTCTCCTGGTCTGCCAATTTTTGCGCCAGCTGTCTCATTGGGATGCTTTGCGGTGTGTCAAAGCAGGTAATTGTCCAAGTGTTACCACACTCCAACCAATAAATCTCAATACCAATCTCCAGCGCAGACCATTGCACATAACACCATTTTAGATCTCAGATTTCGCCCCAAGCCAGTACACACAGGACAAAGCCGCAAACTTACGTTTCGGAGAGGTTGAACACCTTCTGGGAATCTCCGCTCACAATGCGATATGCGATGGGGTCGTTTTCTCTGTCTGTGGCCTGGAGGGAGACGACAACGGAGGGCCTTTAACGGGCCTACAATTGTCATTAAGGTGCAAGGCTGAGCAGCCGAATTGAGCATCAACATATGGCTGGATGATAAGGAAGAGGGTTCGGGTTTGGGTCAGGTGAGAGGCGGTCAATGTCTCAATAATCCCACAATAATTTTTTTTTTTTACACAGAAATCAACGCCTCACCTGCAGATTGAGCAGAATGGCGCCAATCCTTGTGGCTTCGCTCACCTCCAGGTTGTAAGTGAGCAAGGGGAAGCGCGGCGGGCTCTGGTTGTTGGGTGGCAGCACTTCGATGTAGACGGTTGTGATGGAGCTCCTGGCAAGAGGATAGCGAAGAAAAAAAAAAAAACAAATAGCAACAACAACAAGGTGATGGCAGTTAGCAAAAGCTAACAAAATAACTCGAACTAAAAAATGTTTAGAAAACGAATGTCATCATACATTCATTTTAAAATTATTCATTTTGGTATTGCTGTAGAACCGGATAGAAGAGGAAAGGTCATATTTTATTACATAATCCTTTGTGACCTTTATTTTATTTTATTTATTTATTTTTTAATTACACTCAACAAACACTCCATGTTAATAAAACTAATACTAAAACTAATAAAAACTCTCCAAAAACCTGCTCTAAAAAACAATTAAGAGTACAGTCATACCTTGGTTTTCGACCATAATCCGTTCCAGAAGGCTGTTCGAAAAACCGATTTGTTCGAAAACCGAAACCACGCTTCTTTTTTTAAAAAAAAAAATCTTTATTGAACACGTCTGTTCACAATGGCACGCTACACGTGGAAGCGTCACTTCTTCGTCACTTCCTCGTGCAAGGAAGGCGAGAGGAGTCAAGTGACGCATTCAAGTGCGCTCAGTTTGTTCGAGAACCGAAATTCGGTCGTCATCCGAAGCATAAAAAAAACTCGAAATTTTTGGTCGAAAACCGAACAGAGACGTTCGAAAACCGAGGTTTGACTGTAACTCGATCCAAAAAACAAAAGTCGAAAGGAACTAAAAAGTAACGAACTAAAATCCCAAACTATTATAACAGCGCCACCCAACCTTCCATCCATCTGCTCATCCAACCCTTGTGCAGGTTTTCAGTTTATTTCACGTTTGCGAGTGCTGCGTTGACCGTCCCCCGCAATGGAATTTGCGTGCATGCGAGCGTACCTTCTCAGGGACTCCGGCGCGTTGTCGGACGCCTTGACGGTCAGCGCGAAAGATCGTCCGACGGCGAGGCTGACGCCGGGTGCCACTGTGATGCGACCCGTGCGATTATTAATGACAAAGTGTCCCTGAGCCCCGGCCAGGATCTCGTAGGTCACCAGTCCGTTGAGTCCCTCGTCAGCATCCCCCGCCGTTAACTTTTGACGCGGGAAGACAGAAAGAAGCAGGCGCATCAACTCGACACTTTTATGGCCACTCGGAGCGTGGAAATGACTTGAACCAGTTTTGATGTCAGGCTACTACCAAACAGAAAAGCGAGCTTTGTTCTGCAACATTAAAGGTATAGATGTTGCATTGAAGATAAATCCTCGCGGCGGGTGGCCGCAGCCTGTTGAGATTCGAGCTCAATAAAAGTTTGGATGGCGCCGAAATGGATTGTTGCGCTTTTGAAATGAAAGCGTAAAGCTCGGGTTCTCGCTTTGATTTCCAAACGCATTAGTCCGGATCAGCCAGTTACTCGACGGCGGCCAGCCGCAC